TGATCGAGTGCTCTCCGTCATCGTCAGCAGCAAGGAACTGCGATAAATGGTGAAAGAACGAAAAAGAACGCGTCCATGGAGATCGCATTGTCTGAAACGTTGCTTTCTCCGTATTTTACGAGTGACCGCGTATTTTTCATACTTTTGTTCATTTTCTGCAGTAAGAAATCGATCTCGTATTTCCCAGCTGCGGGGCAGTAGCGCTGGATTAGTTCCTCACAGACATCTTCGGAGCACTGGAATTTCAGTTTATCTTTTTCCGGTTCGGCAAAATTCAGGAATGCAGTAGATAGTTCCTTCAGCATCAAGTCGTACTGCACTTGGTTCTCGTAAATTACTCGAGTATTCGCGAATTTTGCAAGATAAGTCATCACTGTTCGCTCGTGTACTATCCACTCAGAAAGTTCGTCAAGTGAAATTCTGCCATTCTGATCCCGATCAATGCGCGAGAAAGCGTCAGTAGCAAGGACTTCAAGACTGTCTGTGGCTGGTCTGGGCTTACCAACCACTTTACAGAGCCCTCTAGTCGTGCAAAGCATCAGTAGAACCAGTTCGTCTTTTGATATCATCTTGGAGTGGTCGAAATCGAAGAGATCAAATAGGAATGGGACTTTCCCCTCCATCGTCGCATTGCAGTACACGATGATCACAGCAAGCACTTCCGTCACATCCACCTAATTTTAAATAAGAAAAACTATAAGATTTTAAGTTTTTGATACGGAAAGAAATAGCCGACTTGCCTTGCCGACTTCCCACGAGTCGAAAAGTGCAAAATGTTCGAGTGAGTCTTGACAGATGAGTGAGAAAATGTCATCAAACTCTTCTGGATTGACATTCATCTTGTCTCCTAAAGTTCCTTGCAAGGTTTCAAAGTTCTCCTTCGCATCACGAAAATCATCTAATGTTGCTAGACAAAAAGAAGACAGTTAAGCCTTGTAAGTATCGCCCTCACGCTCGCACTAACCTGCTTTATATTCCTATTTAAAAACATAAAATTTCTAATAATTAAAAATTCGAAGGGCGTTCCTTTTCCTCACAAAAAATTGTGTTTCGGCGGGGAAAAATTTTATACAGGGAGGGGTTTTCCCTCTCCCCAAAAGGGGTTCAACCCCCGTCCAAAGGGCAAGGGGTTCCCCCAATCCTCTCTTAATAAGAACAACTTTCGGCAAGTCAAACTTAGAAACGGTTTGTCTACAGACTATTCATAACTCGCTTTAAGTCCTCGACCGCTCACAAGTTTTCGACATGGTTTCGTCTCCGTCGGTCTTGCCAGTCCGCCACCTCGACGACCAACAGAAGCGAAAGGCTCTGCAACTACCACCTCGTCCTTACCCCCTTTACAAACCACCAGTGACATCTCCCCATCTCCGAGAAAACACGATAAATCACGACCCATCCAAGTCTCTTCCTGGCCCTTAACCTTCGCACCTGGAAGTCCGAGACGTATCCCTACCGACTCTATTGATCACGATGCGTTCTCTCCAATATCTCCTAAAGTACAAAAGCTCCACACCCGTACACGTCTACTAGACGATAGTCGAACACGACCGGCATTACTACAAGAACTCCTCGAGTATCTTCACACAGAGCTGGATGGAGAGCGAGAGTCAAGAAAGCCCAGTTTACGACGGCTACAAATCGTAAGAGAAGCTCTCAATCGCCTCATCGACGGCTTCAGTGTGTACGCTCCTGTCCTTATGCAAATTCGAGATGAATATGAACGTGCAGTCGAAGATCTTCACGCTCGAAATTTGATGATCCCGGGACTGCAGACTCGACTACAAAGTCTGGAGACTCACTGTCTTCAACAACTCAGTGCGTATAGTGCAGAAGCGAAAGCTCGCTCAAAGAAACGATTAGCAGAGACGCAGGCGTTACTGGCTGCTAGTACAGCAGAAAATGCGCGACTCACAGCTGCGTTAAGAAGTGAAAAGGACAATGTTACAAAAGCAGAGAGTAAACTTACCGATGTTCAACGTTCGACGTTGACGTTAGCGAGTAGTGTACGAAGACATGACGAGAGCCTACGTGCTGGACAGGAACGTTCTCTTGAGGACGCGAGAGCGTTGCAGAAAGTTACAGCGCGATACTATCACGCATGTGACGAACTGGCTGAACTTAAGAAAACTCTAGCAGCTTTGGTAGAACAAGGGAATGGAGAACATGTGGCTGCAGATAAGAACACGATCGTGTTACTTAGTCGTGGAGTACAGGAGCTCTCTACTGCACTAACTGCGTCGGCAGAATCACAGATTTAGAAGATCCATAAAATTCATGGATTTTTAGAATGGAAATATAAATCGCCTAGATTTTTCTAGAACGATTCTAGAGTGGGCGACCTGTATGTACTAGTAGTAAATTCCAAGGCACATGTTGCGCTGAGGCGCGAGCTTTGGCTTGCAAGGCTAGAAGAGCCTCGCTACCTGATAGTCGAGACACATGATGAGGTCTCGCCACTTTGTCCGCTTTCGGCACTGCAATAGAAGCAGCTTTATCATCTGGAAACTCTGCAGGACGGGCAATAATTGGCTTAGCTTGAGCTTTTGTTGACGCTTTGAAGTCACTTTTTGCGTCGTCCTCGTTTGCAGGGCGTTTTGCTCTCACTGGCTTGGATTTGAGCCTCGTTGGAACGCCAGCAAAGAGTTGGTCTGGACCATCATCGTCCAGATCTGAAGATTCTAAAACTAGTTTCAGAGTCATAAAAAAACTGCCGCGACGGTATATAACGCCCAGCAACGCATCATGCACAATTCCCTTCCAGACCATCAAGTCCAGTGCTTGACCTTCGCCCACAACTTGAGCGAATGGGCAGAGCGAGCCACGAGCCAACTCGAGCTCGAAGAACGCCTCCGAGCCGTCTTCGATCTCGAGCCAGCGAGCCAAATGCGCCGCAATATGCTCGTTCCCTTCACTAGCAGTGGAAACCTCCCTCATCAAGTTCTGTACCCATTTCTGCCCCAATAAGCAGATCCAGAAGTACGAAGCCAATTTCTTCTTGAAATCGTTGATGAACACTAGCAAAAGGACTTAAGACCTTTGTGCGAGAAAATTCAGCTTCGTGCTCTCCCCCAGGAGCTAGAATTTCGTCATACACGCCACCGAATGCGAGTTCAGTTGGTTGTGCACGTAAGATCGGGAACCCACGACTAACAGAGTCCTTCAACATCGTAGTGGGAAGTTGAGCACTCCCGTGACAGACGAACTGGTTGAACTCGAACACAACTGCATCGTCTACGATATCCCTAGACTCGCCTCCCTCGTTTTGCTTTACTCCGTTCCCTCGACTAGGAGAGTTCTTCTTCTTGGTAAATTGACGGTGTCTAGCAATCAGACAATATAGTTGCGTGTCGTTCGCTACTTAAACGCGGGAATTCCCTCCATTACTGCTCGATTTCATTAGTGACATACATGTAGATGGCGTATCCGGGAAGTGGATACCACAACAACAATTGCTCGTGATCCTCGTCAATGTAGGTACGTTAAATATCAAATATCAATAGAAATACACCTGTAGCGACGCACCAAGGCTCCGCATTGGAAACTACAATATCAACCTTTGTTAACCCTTTCGTGATCGCAAATCTTTGCGACTATGCTAAACTTTTGTAAAACACGGCAAAATGCCGCGTTTTGAGGTTAAGATGCGCACTCCGTTCAAAACAGACTGTTTCAAAACACGATAGATTGCTTATAGAACGTGGCATTTTGCAGCCACCGCAGCCGCGTCGCTGATTCGTCAAAATAAAGGTTCTCCACCGATTGGCGGAGCCCGGCCAATCAGAGCGGTAAAAAATTGCCCATCTCATGCGTTTCCGCACCATTGATATCCGATATGTGATTTGTACGAGATCCGTGAGCCGAGTATCTATCTTGGCCTCAGTATACATCGTTCTGATCGAAGCGTCGAGCAGCCTGCTCTCGGAGCCCGTGATAGCCAGTTGCAGCTGAGACTCATCCCATCACAGAAATCTATATTCAACAAAATCACATGCAAATAAGATGCCGGATTAGTTTGCAAACAAAACGTTTTTGCATTTCAATAAATAATACTATTATAAGAGATACAAGAGCCGTTCATTCCCTGATTTGACACCTTGAGCCCATGCCGCGAAAACGCGCGCTCGCAGATGATCAACCTGCACGAAAGCAGCGGCTTCGGCGGGGCTAAGCCCTCAGCGACGACGCTACCAAATTGTCATCGACGCTGGACTTTAACGGTGTGTGGAGAGAGCTAAAGGCAGCTGGGTGGACGTCCAAGCTTCCAAGTGGCCTCGACGATCGATATCGGTATGTCCTCCCCGGTTGTACTGGTAGTGGAAGAGCTGGCGTTGATTAACTGCTTGGGGAAGAAGAAGTATTGTGGCACTACGTACAACATTGTGAGTAATACCTGCTCTCCAGCGTTTACAACAATGCTGTTGCCTCAAAACATATAACTACCGTTGTTGTAGGTAGCCCTGGTGTCGTACAAGATGTCGGCGGACACGAACATGCAGATGATCATGCTTCTCACCCTGCTCAAGTGACTGCATTCAATGCCGACCACGACGAATGGTGCAGAGATGGAGCTGGAGTAGCGGCTGTAGCTGACAACGCACAGGACTTAGTCGCACGCTCGGAACGCAACAACATTGGTGGTGCATCCCTCACTCGTGGTATGAGTATGACTAGTAGCTCTGCAGAGTACGCTGTGTTGATATGTGTACTCAAAATATATTATCTGTAGCTCCAAGAGACCACGCCCGTCGTGCCGATGGTGCTTATAGTGACCGTGGTAAGTCCACAACAAGCGGCCGAAAGGAATTCCAAACTAGAGGTGGTCTTCGTGCGCGCCGGGGGTTGCGCGGCTGCGACGAGCAAGTAGCCATACAAGATGGTGGCGTTGGTGTGAATGACGATGGCGGTGGTGCTGAAGGTGTACAGTCCGGAGCTTCTCATGACCTCGCCCAAGCCGTTACTACCATGCAGTACTCTGTCGCTGAACTATCTGCTCCTGGAGCTGGTGTTGGCCACCGCCGAGCTGCAGATCACGATGGTTGTGGCGTGGTAACGTGTGGTGTGGATGCGGAAGCAAGCTGTGGTGAAGGCAATGGTGGCGTTGCAGTTACAGAAGGTAGTGGTGGACGTGGGTAGATTGCCACTCCACAAAGCCGACAGCCTGGCAGTGCTGATGCTGTGGACATTGTGACTAGCCAAGACGGTGCATCGGGTAGTGGAGGTGGCAGACGGCGACTTTCCCTAGCGCGTCTTGCCCGCCTAAGCCGTGTAGCTGATGAATCAAGTCGGCAGGATCTCGGCCGCACCAATCAAAGTATCGCGACTCCGGAAGAAGGCACCAACACCTCAAGAACCAGCACTTCCCGCAGTCGTACCCTAGGTACACCAACGATTGAACAGCTTTATGTCAAGAAATTGGTGGCCTTTTCGCCGTCGAAAGAGCCGTGGACGACAGATAAGGTATACAGATGTGTAGGAACGGCCTACATCGTTGGTCGAGTATGTCGTCGTATCAAGAAACCAAAAAATGGAGCTATTTTCCAATTGATGTGGCTTGATAGTCAGTTTCAAAACGCGGTAGAAGCCGTCACTGTGGAGGCTGTGCAACGGGGTATCGAGAACCATCAAGCGCTAGTGCGTGTACCTAATCAGCCGGCATGGCAAGATTTGACCGACAAGTGACTGAAGAGGAGTTGAATTTGGACGCACCACTTGATGAACTTGAAGTGGCGTCGGCCGAAGGAGAGTACGAGTCGTACGATCCCGAGCAGATTTTGCCAGTGAGTCTTGCAGAGGTGGAAGCAGTGAAGAATATGCGTTTCGAGCCCGACACGGAAATGGAAGCACCGGCTGATCTTTACGAGCACCCAGATGCTAGTACTGCTGAGACACGATTATTGCCAGCTTATGATCATCTGTTTGCCCATTCCGCTAGTTCGAGCTTCTTTGCCTACATTCCCGTCTACTTTTGGAAACAAGTAGTCCTGGATTCAAACAGGTATGCCGCTGTCAAGGAGATTCTGATCACCACACCCATCACTATGGACGAGCTCATGGTCTTTTTGGACATCATGTTCTACATGACGCTCACGGACAAAGGTGAATACTCTAACTATTGGGGAGCCCAGACTGAAGACGCGATCTTTGGCGGAGCATCTACAAGTTTGGACAACGTGATGAGCTTACGTCGGTTCAAGTTGATTCGTCGGTGTTTTAGCTTTCGTGCTGAACCGGGGTCACCCGTGGATAGAGATCCAGCCGCCCGTATCCGACCCTTGCTGAATTTGCTTAAGTGTACCGGAGGCCGCTATGTCGAAGTAGGCCATGACCTTGCATTGGATGAAGCCAGCATTACTTGCCGGTCACGCCACGGCCGTCACCTCATTGTGTTCAATCCACAGAAGCCTGGTGGAAAGTATCACTTTCAAATGTATGTAGTTTGCTGCTCGACCACATGGATTGCTTTAAATTACCGTCTGCATTGCAGCAATAGCGATATTGCCGATCGTTTGCAGATCGTGGTGAGCCAAGAGGAGATGCAACAGCTCCGTGAGGAGCTAGAGGATGTCCAACAAGTACGCAAACATGTACTTGAAGTGGTGCGGCCATACTTTGTTTCTCGACGGATTATCAACATGGATAACTACTACACAAGCGTCCAACTGCTGCTGGATTTAGAGCTGAAGGGTTTGTACGGGCGAGGAACAGTGCGAGGCAGAAGCAAACATTATCCTAAGCACACCGTTCTGCAGAAAGAGGAGTGCTCTCGAGGTGATTATCAGCAGTCAGTGGCTGTCGAACATAACATGCTGGCGGCGTCATGGTGCGACAGCAACATTGTCACCATGGTCACCAATGCTGATCCATCTACCACCACTATGGTGACACGACGAATTGGAGCTTCAAGTTGTGCATTTCCTGCCCCCATCTGTATTTTAAAATACAATCAACACATGCAAGGCGTTGGCCGTTTGGACCGGATACGTGCTAGATTCTCAATCGCTGATGGTCATTCCTACAAACGTTGGCACAAAACATTGGCCTTAGCACTCGTGGATATCGCACGCTCCAACGCGTACTTGACTCGGCGGATGGCAATCGATCCGTCAAGAGATTCGGGACCCCCACAGGACGCTTGTTACGGATTTAGTATCAGAGCTCATTTCGGGTCGCTGGCGAGAAGCGCCCAGTGACAAACGAATGCCGTTCGGCAGCAGCGTTGCCACAGAAGCAGCAGCCACCCCCAGTGCTACTCCTCCAAGCACAGGCTTATCGATGGTCCCGACACCGACTCAGTCGGCGCAGTGTGAGGCGACATCGTCAAAGCAAATGTACAAGAATAAGAGCAGGAGAAAGCGCGAGTGCGTTGTCTGTGGCTAAGAAGGAAGATACGCGACTGAGGTAACCGATTACTGTCTAACTCACACCGCGTGCCTTTGCCGAGCTGTGCACGGTGACGCTGAAACTCCATTCACCTTCCCACAGAGCACTTGGACCTGCTGGGACAAGTTTCACCGCTTCTATCTTCAAAGTGGCCTTTTCAACGAAAAAGGGAATCTGCGTAGGTCCTCAACGTTGGCCAAGCTCAAGGTTCAATGCAAATGCGTTACCCAACTAGTCGGAGACGATCTAGCGAGTCAACGCAGCCTATTAGATGAGAACCGTTCACCAGGGCAACAAAGTGAAAGCAGACAACAACCTCAGCAGAGCCCACCGATCCAACAGACTAGAGTCGCACGACAAATTTTCGAGTAAACGTGTATATATCTTGATTAAACTATTGCCGTCGTTGTCTCTGTTCTAGAAATAGAGAGTATGCGTTCGAGGCGTGTAGCAGTCGAGTGTTAAGAAGAAATGAAAATCGAAAGTGAGTTTTATTGAGTTAGTTGTTCCTGTCTTGCTTTGCTAGCTCCTTTCTACTTTCATCCGTAGTCCTCCTAATCACATGTAAATCCATACACAAAAAAATAGATTTCGTCGGCAACGCCTATACTCGTCATAGGCGTTGGCGACGAAAATCAATTGAGTTTTGTATGTGGACTGGATATGATCAAATCCGACCCTGGCATTAACCATGCCAATCATTTGGGATCAGCCAATCAGATAGCTCCATTCGACCCACTTCAACTTATGACCCCTCAGGGCACACGCTTACCACGCGAAGTGCAATCACAACACTAGATACTCTGTATCCCTCGAGTCGCACGACAAATTTTCGAGTAAACATGAATATTTTTTGAACAAACTATTGCCGCCGTTGTCTCTGTTCTAGATACTCTGTATTAGCACCGGTCACCAGGGCAACAAAGTAAAAGCAAATAACAACCTCAGCAGAGCCCACTGAACCAACAGAGTAGAGTCACACGGCAAAATTTTGCGTAAACGTGAATATATATTGATTAAACTATTGCCGCCGTTGTCTCTGTTCTAGATACTCTGTATTATGCCAACTGCTGTGCTATTTCGCTCACAATGATATCGTCGTGGCGTGGTTCCGAGATGGCCTAGGAGTGTCGTCGTAGTCCGCGGGATTCTTGTCCTGCGGGCCTGGCGTCCACCCTGTCGTTGGCCTCGAACTGGTTGAGGCTCTTGACTTGCTTCTCCGTTAGGTCTTGCTTGACTGGCACTCATTCATTGACGCTCTTGTCGTCGGTCTTGAACCCGTGTGTGCTGACCTTCCTGAGCACGGGCGAGTGCAGGCGCTGGGTGCTGCCGCGGATGACCAGCTCGAACGTGACCACCTACGGCGACTCGCCGCAGGCAGCCGCTTGGTGTACGCGTGGTCCACGCCCGCGGGTGGCAGCTTGGCATACACGTTGCCCACGTTCGCAGAAATCGGGTTCTCGTACGAGCTGCCATAGGACACCTTCTTCTCGTGCTGGGCTGGGTACGACAGGAACATGTCCTTGCCCTTGTTGTCCAGTGCCTTGTTGAACTTGACCGACATCGTGGAGAAGACCACGTCCTCGCTCGTCTTCGGCCACTTGCCTGCCTTGTCCCCGTGATACTCGCCTGAATGACCGTCTCAGCATCAACGCACTATAATCTCCAGTCACTGAACAGTCGTGTACATGTAAATTGGGATTAGAGGAGACTTCCAGCTACCCCGTCCATACGTTATTTTTCGCGAGCTTCCACTTGGAGCAAAATCTTCTTCGGCAGGAATCGCGATGGCGAGGTCAATAGCGAGATGTAGCAACGATCAAACGTACTCTCGGCATCATATACAGCTGCTCTTGTACGGCCAGCTTTGCTAATTCATCAAACAGGAAATCGTTTAAAAAAACTATTGATGCACGCTGAAATGGTAAACGCGACGAAAGTGGCGTATCAAGAACGTCTCCTTGGTTCAAAAACACTTTGTGGAGTAATAGCAGCCTTGGCGCATGCTCTCGCAAACAATGAACACCTCGAAGAAAAACCTCCGGTCGTTTCTCGATTTCCAAGCATTGGCGTTGCAATCGTCTGAATCGCAAACTGCGCCGCAACATTCCCCAGGTCAGCACCAATGTCAAGAAAGACGTCGTCTCGATGCACAGCTCCAATCATTTGAATCACGCTTGATATAGCGGCAGGCAGCATCTCACCTGCGTTCTCATCCGTCTTTCCCGCTTGTTGACGAACGTCCGCGGCCGAAACGTTGCTGAAGATATCGCGGATAGCGCTTTCGGCTTGGCTCGGTTCCAGAAGACGAAGATGCTGCTTGTGAGAGAATGTTGGCGTCGACGAGGCCGTCGCCATGGCGTCCACGGTATCCGTTATCCGGTTGAAATGGGGGAAGCTATCGTAATATCCATTTTATTTACATTTAAATACGCCTAATTGATACTTCGCAGTATTCATTATCACCCGAAATATAAATAAAATTATCTTACAAAATCATTGAAAGACACTTCAAATTGAGATATAACTTATTGAGATACATTGATTTTACCGTAATTCTTACACTATAGTCGAGAGGATTACGCGGCTTGTATGAAGCAGCGAACCAACATTCTGGTGGATGACCTTTCGCTGACAATTTTAAGTGACGTGGTCAAGGGAATGCTAGAGTTGGTAACGTATAAGCACATTCGTACCAACTATCAGAAGCTTTACGCGCTGGAGCAGATCTTCAGCAGCCCTGCTATAACCGGCTGACTCGGTCAAGAGGCAAGCGGCCGCAGAAGTGGAAAGACAGCAGCTAAATTAGGCGCCCATAGGTCGCTAAGCACGCAGCGGAGCTCAAAAGAGGGCAGCCAACAGCCGAACCGCGGAAAAGTGAGGGGGGGCGCACAACACGACACGTGATACACTCCGCCACCGCGGACAGGACGTCTTCACTACAAGGGTGAACATTGGCTAAGAGATAGCCCAACTGCCGCACCTGAAGAAAAGAAAGAAGCCAGGTCACATAAGAATAAGGCTTGGAAAGTCAAGCGTGCAGCTGAAGGGAAACCGTCGACAGAGATCGCTGGACCCGATGATGGAGAGAAAGAAGTGAGCAAGGTGTTAAATGACGAGGAGTACACAGGTCTGATCAATAGAGCCGTGGGGATCTGAATGTGTCCAGACACGGGTGCAGACAAGTCTATCCTTCAGCCAGCAGATGCGATACAACAAGGTTTAAATGCAGGACGGCCGGTAGACTCGAACACCTGAGTGTACCGGTAGGTAAAAAAACTACGCCGAGTCATGAGAGCCTCTGATTGATGTGCAAATATGCACCGCCGATTGTGACTTCCTGGTCGTCGAAGAGGAAGATGGGGAATTCTATGGCAAATTTTGAGTCTTGTGGGTCTTCTCGGTTATTTTCGTTGGTCTGTTTCAGTATGCGTTGGCGTTGGCTCGGAGCGACTATGGATTCTAATTCTAGGATCAGA